ACGTCAACCTGCAGCAGCTGGTGAGGAGGCCGCGCATTTTGCCCTCCTCCTGACCTGCTCCTGTTCATGCAGGCAGAGGCGACGGAAAGGATGTCTCCTGCTGAGATCGCAGCGATCTGCAATGAGGTCTATCCTCCTACTTGCCCTTGTCCTCCTACTCGCCTTCGTCGTCCTTCTTCCCCTCCTCGTCCTCTTTCTCTTCCTCCTTGTCCTTGTCCCCATCTTTGCCCCCATCGTCTTTGTACTGATTTCCTCCTCCCTCTTCCTCCTTGTCGACCTTGTGCTTGTCTTGTTGCTCTCCTCTCGGCTGACGCTGAGATTCACAGGCAGCGATATCTGCAGCAAGGGAAGGGAGGGAGCAGGTGAGCAGTTGAGAAGAGCTGCTAGAGGACCTGAGCGGCTCTACCTCAAGAGAGGCAGAAAAATGAGGGAGGGAGAAGGGTGGAAGCGAGGAGGAGGAGGAGGAGATGAGATGAGAGAGAGGGAGGGAGGGAGGGAGGGAGGGAGGGAGGGAGGGAGGGAGGGAGGGAGGGAGGGAGGGAGGAGGAGGAGGAGGAAGAGGAGGAGGAAGGGGTCGGTTTTTTTTGGCGGGGGGAGGAGGAGGCTGTGGTAACCAGGTTCAACAGGTCAGTGCGAGTGATTTCTGGAACGGACTGGAGAGATATCGAGCTTCTCGAAGCCCCGGCAGCGACGGCTCGTCTACCATCCTCGACGAGCAGGCAAAGTACCAGGTGACTGAATCCTCTCGCCTTCTTCCTCTCCCTCCTCACTTCTTGTTGGACGGCAGAACTGGCAGGAGGTGGTCGGGAGGATGATCGACGAGATCAGGGGAGGCAAAGAGAACTGAGGAGGAAGAGGAGGGGAGAGCAGATGAGTCCTAGCTTCATTTAACTCTGGGATGAAATAGAATCCCCTTTCTCCTGCTCCTGCTCCTGCTCCTTTCATCCCCTATGCATTTACAAGACCAAATATTATACAGAGGATTAGCCTCCTTTCACCTCGACCCCAGCTGAAACTCTCGTTCGAAAGCACGTTCAGCAGCCTCGCCTGCATACCCTTCAGTCTCGAGAGCAGAGAAGGTGGGAGAGGCGGAAAGAGGAGGAGGAGGAGGAGGAGGAGGGTGCAGCAGAAAGGATACATAAAGCCCACTAGTGCGAGTGAAGGAGGAGGAGGCACAGCAATAGGACAAGAGGAGGGAGGATGGGGCAGGGGATAGAGCATACCGCAGCTCTTCCCTCGCTCAACGGCTGCTCGAACTTTAGCGATGAGTCTCTCGAAGTCCTCGTCTCCACCTTGCACGTACTGCTGCTGCCGTATCCTCTTGTTTCCCTCGAACTCCACGATGAAAATCCCTTTCTTCGACTGCTCCAGCGCCTTTCCATGCCTCTTCCCAAGGTACCAGCACCCCTGCCACACTCTCACTCCCTCGTTCTCCTCTCCTTCCTCCCTAGCCCTGCTGCTCTCTTCCTCCTCTTCTACAGAATCCTCCTCTGTCAGCTCCTCTTCAGCTTCCTATCCCTGCTCCTGCTCCTGCTCCTGCTCCTGCTCCTGCTCCTGCTCCTGCTCCACCACAACTGTTTCTCTTCTCCTTGTCCTCTGCATCTCCGTCCCTCCCTCTCCCTCCTCGGCTTCACCTCATACTTGGCCCCCGATGGGAACACGTACGTCCCGAACCCATGCCGCATGTCGTTCTCGTACTGCCCGACGTACGTTGAACCGTCCGGATATTTCTCGATCCCAAACCCTCCCGGCTTATCCCCGAACCAGTCGCCAGCATACTGCAGAAGAAAGAAGGAGCGAGGAGGCGGGGGAGGGGGAGGAAGGAGGGGGAGGAAGGAGGAGGATACAGCGTCAGTGGCCATCTCACAGCCCCTTGTGTTTATCGTCCACCTGAGCTCCGTCCTGCCAGACGAGGCAGCCGCTGCCCTTGCGGATCCCATCCTCGAACTCGCCTGCTCACTTAGTTACGCCAGCATGACAGCAGGGTAGGACCTGCCTGCAAACTTCACGCGCTGCTTTTGATCGTTGGCTGCATACATAATCGAACCGAATCCGTGCGGCTTATCGCCTGTAAGCAAGGGAAGGAAGGTAGGAGAGAGACGAGGAGAGAAGAGGAGAGATCTAGTCACAAACACGAGACGCCATGACGCGAGCTTCACGAACCTCTGAGGTTGCCACGATACCTTGAGCCATCCTGCAGCACTTTCTCGCTCATGTGCGCTGCGTCCTTGCGCTTGCCCGTGACGGACTGCAGCCTCTCCTCACCCCCCAGCACCTTCCCACTCATTTCTCACCTCTACAGGGCCCAGCGAGGGAAGCTTCAACGCAGTTGACTTGACCTGCACAGAAATGAGCCAAAGGTTCGGATATTGGGCAGGATCGGATCACCGAATCTCCCCGTTTCATCTGTCCCCGTATACTGTTGATCTGATTCACAAGACCAAATTCAATGCTCTTCTCCTCTCCTCTCCTCTCCTCTCCTCTCCTCTCCTTCCCTCTCCTCTCCTCTCTTGTCCTCTCCTCCCGCACCTTCTGCACCCCTCTTTGCGGATTCCCCATCATCTCCGGGGCGCACACGACCTCAAAGTCTGCAGCAGCTTCAGCAGCCTTCCGACCCTCCTTGTCACTCACCTCCTTTGGCATTGCCTTTGGCATCGAAGTAGACGTCCAAGTTGTCGGAGACCGCTATACCTCGATGATGGCAAACGTCTGCTAACGTCGCCACCTGAACCGAACCAGGGTCAGCACATGGGTCATGTTTGCCCATCTGCCGCACCTTGGTCAACAGGCGCTTTGCATTCTTCGCCTTGAGGTGGATAGTAACAAACACTTGGAGAGGAGTGGTGGAGGCGGTTGGACTGAAGCTCGACTGATTCTTCTTGAGATCACAAAGTCTCTCAGCATGGGCGACAAGTTGTTCGCAATGGCTTCCATTCGCCTGTTGAACAATCACGAGGCTACCAGACATGAAAGCAAGTCTTCCAACAGAGACAACAATAATCACAGGTCGGACAAACAGGAAACAAAGATGTCCAGTATGTCAAAGGACACTCAAAAAAAAGCACAATATTTGCAATCATCTGAGCAAGGATGCATTACCTGCACCCCACTTCGGACTCTTTCATTGATCTCCTCTTCAACCTCCTTCGCCAGCGCCTTGGCGTCAACACTTTGCTCGCCGTTCGATCTCCTTGAGTAGAACCCGAGCTGATCACCTCTGACTTCATTGCTGTGACAGACGTCAGGTGATGAGGGGAGCAGCTCACTCATCCATCACCTGACAGGCTTGAGGAGCTTCAGCTTCTCCAGCTGCATGCTCTCCCTGCTGATGTCTTCCATCATCTACTACAAGCTCCTTCGATGATGGAAGCGGTTTTTCAACGAGCCCTGGATGCCATGGAAGCTATCCTGAAAGACAAGGAAGAACATCAAATGACTTCGATGAACACTTCAGCTATCATCCCTCACATCGCAGTTTTTGCAACAACCATCGTCAACTAGTACATCTAAACCACATCCTCCATTCCTCCAGCTCTAGAGGAAAGTTGGAAATTCTTTGTGGGCCTCCTCCTGATTCAATATCTTGCCGCACGTGGTGTAACGGTCATACATCTCAACTTGACTTCGTACCATCTTCTCGAATCTCCTCCTCTCCTCCTCCTCTCCTCCTCGTTCCACATCCATTCGTTCTCACAAAGAAAACCTGCCCATTATTTTCTCCAACGCTCGACAATACTATATTACCACCCCTACCCTGCCCACGACCTCTGTTACCATATTTGTTAACCCCCTACCCACTCAGAAATAGTCAAGTACCCACCTCTGACCCAATCCGATTGTTCCTACCCCATGTCATGTGACTACCCACCAGGGAAAGTCCTGTGCAGATCACTATCCCCCCTCGATATCACAAGAACCCTCCAGCATGAACCCTACCACCCTCAAACCTGAACAAGAAAGTAAAAATAAGGGGTCATGATAACGCGAAAACCGAATCTAGGGGGTAGGGGTTATTCGGGAAAAAGAAAGGTTAAGAACGAATTAACGGAAGCAATACGTTTGTAACGGTACAGCAACGAGAAATAACGGCGACCCTCTATTTCCGGTGGGTAGTGTCAAATCGTACCATCGATACTATCAAGAGCTCCTTTCTTTTTAATTTTGACCATAGATCACCCCTTCAATTATCAACCAATATTCTAATATAATGGGGTGGGTTAAGAATCGTTCCCAGGAAGATTGCGAAACCGAGGGGAATGTTCAGCGACAAGCTGGTGAGGGGCAAGTGGTGACGGTGTGTAGGAGAAGTTGCAGGTGAACCAGACTCATCGCTGATTGCCGCAAGGTATTCATCTACTAGATATACTTCAGAGTTCGTCCCTCGGCAGCTGCCTCATCATGATGAGAAGAGCCGCTGCCCTTTTGTTGGTTGTACAGTTATCTGCTGCTTGGAAGTGTATTCCTGAAAACTCGCCAGACTTCGGAACGTGTGCGGGACTAGATAAAGAATGTTGCGAACAGTGGCTGCTGGAGTGCGATCTTCAGTGTTCAAGTATGGTACAGCCTCCTGTATCCATAAATACCCAAGAAGTGAGGAATTTTTCTTGCAAGGACCTTGAGTTAAAATATCGGTGTCAGTGCGAAGGCTCAGATTGTCCAAATACATATTGCGCTTCTTCACAGTGCTACTCAGTTGCTAGCGGAGATGAATGTTCTGCGCCCTGTTCGCCGAAAGTCACCGAGCCAAATTGCCCACAAGGCACCTTCGCAGTCTTCAAGAAGTCATATCCGTTCTGTCCCCAGAACAGTGTGAGGTTTTCATGCGAACATTTTGACAGATGCGAGCCGTACGGTGGAGAAGGGGTGCACACATTGGAGCTTAAGGGCGGAACGAGCCAAGGGCCGGACAAGAGGCTTCTTTCGCGAAAGAACGGCGCGAGCACTCAGAGAGGTTCAGGTCTCTTGCTGATGGTCATGACATTCATATGCTATCTGGCGATTTAGTTTTCGCTGTACTGGCTATTCAGGTGCACGTTCACCACAGAACGACTTTCCAATGGATGTTTTAATCACTACATCCATCTTGGAATGACAGAAAGTCGACAGAGTCAAGTTGGAAGAGACGAGGTGTAAATTTGTGAGCAAGATTGTAAATGGATTGTGTTGGATCCCCTGCTTTTGTTAACTTGCACATAATGAAGTTATTCATTCATTTTGCGTTGATTCATTCATTCGAGGTAAACAGCAAAATAATTCGGCTGTTAATAAACAAAGAAAGAGTTTTGAACAGCAAGTCGTCAATTCACTTTGATATCTTACACCTAATCGCTCCCACGCCATCTTTGTGATAGCACCTGAGGCCAGATGCCACAGTTTTGAGCTCTACTCCGAAACTGAAGGCAGCACACGTTTCTGAAAGGTGTACCCAGTGGTTTGAGGAACCACAGTTTGTCGAGGTTCGAGATGATAATCAAAAGTGTTGAGGTCATCAACAGGTTCCCACCAGCTCGCCCAAGGTGAGATGCTGAGACCGGGGTCACAGATAGGCTGTACCCATGGCCTGATAACAGTCTCGTCAGATATCGAAGGAGGTAATGTATTGAGTTGCTAACCCGCTCGTTGCTGCAGTGCCAAAATCTGGCTGGTTGTAGACAATAGCTCCAGGCTTACAATCCGAATGGCCATATCGCCATCTTAGAATCATTCCTTCCGCTGTGCAGGCCTGCCTCATGGATCATTGGAGTACAGAACAACTTATGGACAAAACGGATCCAGTTGGGTGCATGATTGAGTCCAGAGAAAGCATCTCTACAATGAGCTGTACTAGACTATGGCATAAATCAGGTTGCAAACCGCTAAGAAACATATCCAGCACAGCCCGATTCCTAATTTTTTCTCATAGTTTGCAGTCAGAAACAATGAACGACAACTCTATTGCAACGAAGTTGGCTTTGAGTTGGATGCATATTTACTCTATTCATCTCCTTCTTCCTGCATTGGTCAGCTTTCTCTTCCTAGTCCCCCTTCCCTGGCCCTTGTCTTTCGCTCTTCATGTTTGACCATGGCCTTTCGTCCCACCGTTGCGGCCGTTACAAAGACCGTGGTGATGAAACGGTCTTTAAAGAAGTTTTGAATTCACAGGAAAATCAGACCAACAAACTATGGCCGTCGGTTGTATGGTGAGCTGACATGGGAGAGTGAGGGAGGGCGGGCGGGAACGACGGAAGGAGGAGAGGGAGGACAGAGAGGAGGAGAGACAGAGGAAGGGAAGAGGGTCCACGGGTGAAGATGGAGGGAGATGATGGTCGGATCTCTCGAGTTAGGACCATTTCATGAAGGCGGGGGAACACGGCGAACTTGTCGCCATGACACTCAGATGACTCCCATGCCGCAAATTTTGTTCTGACCATGCTGGCTGCAGCTCGTCCCGTCCATGCTCTGATCGACAAGTTCGTGAGTCTGTGAGCCGAGGTCCAGGATGGACATCTTGGACTTGGAAGAGGTGGACGATCTCGATGACTTCGACCTCGGCCCATCCTCTGCCTCCGTTGCTCCTCACAAGCCGCGTCCGATCGATGTTTCTAAGTGGAGCAGCAAGGAGGAGGCAACTGCTCAAGAACCGCAGGTTAAGCACGCTGAGGTAGAGAAGTTTGTGCTGGACGCGGAGGAAGTCCGTCCATTCACCCCCGACGAGGAGCCTCCCCGCGCTGGCCCTGTGGAGGAGGCGGTGCAAACCTTCTCTTCCAGACCGAAGGAGGTCGACAAGGCCTCGGAGCTCCTCAATCGGATCAACCAGCGAGCCAAGGAAGGAGGAGGATCGACAGGGAGCAAGGAGGCGAAGGGAGGGCAGGTGCCGGAGCTCCATGTGTTCGACGCACAGGGGACAGCTCCTCCCATTCTCAGCGAGTCCAAGTTTCGCTTCTTCCTCGGGCGATGGCTGCAGACCATCGCAGGAGGCCCCAAGCTGACGGGGAGCGAAGGTTGCGTCTCTCTCTCGCTCACTGCAGGGCAGGCGGCCATGTGGCTCCTCCCAGCAGTCGTCGGCATCGCCATGTCGATTGTCTCAGAGAAGATGCAGACATGGGTGGCGGGTCTGATAGCAGGAGGTGTTCAGTTGGTGGTCAGCCTGCTCCTCTCAGCAGCGAGGGAGAGGAGATCCAACAGGGTCGCTTCCTCCTCACCCGCACGTGGCAACATGCTGGCGGATGAGGATGAGGTTGACTTTGGATTGTGCTCCTCTCGAGGTTTTCTCTTCATCTTCCCCCCGCGAGGAGCAAGAAGCATCTTCTATGTCCTCACATCCTCCTGCGCGTTGGGCCTCCTGGTCGTCTACATGCAGCCGACAAGAGTTAAACTGGCCTTAGCCACGAGCAGCGATGCGAGTCTGGGTGAGTCTCCACGAGCCCTTGACGACCTCTGACTTTCTCCTCTCCATTCTTCTTCCCTCATTATCCCCTCACCGTGTCTTCCTCCTCCTCATCTGTTGCTCTTCTCTGACTTCTCCTCTCTCCTCACTGCACAGCCGTATACTCCCTCTTTGCCTGGATCAGCATCTCCCTCGCGCTCTACTCCCTGAACGCGTATGCTCCTCCTGAACTCAACAGGTACACCAGCGATCCAGAGGACGGGCTTCTCGGTCCTCTCTCCCGCACCTTCCACATCTTTTGCCTGGGGGCACCTGCTCTCTCCTCTTCCTCCCTCGACGTGCTCCCTCTTCGCATCCTCCTCCTCCTTCTCCCGCTCCTTTGGACCTTCGGGTCCCTGCCCGGCATGAGCGTCGGTCTCGAGTGGGCAGCGGAGCAGGGGATGATACATCTTGCCGGTGCCTCTCCCTCCTCCTCCTCCGCGCGGCTCTGGCTGGGTCTCCTCCTCGCATGCGGCAACGTCTGCGCCTGCGTCGCCCTTCTCCTCTCGTCAGGTCTCAACGTCTCCTTGGCGGCAGCAGCAGGGATCGGCTTCCTGCTCAGCCATGACCTCCTCCTCCTCCCGACCGACCTGCTGGCCTCCTGCTCTGGAGGGAAGCGGATGGAGAGAAGTGCATCCCCTCTCGGAGCTCATACAGGAGCCCTAGCGAGGCTTCTGGTCAGACTGGTGACAGCGGTCGTGCTTGTCGGGGCTCCTCTCCTTCTGGAGTGGAGGTGGAAGGAGGTAGGCGGACATGTAGAGATGCAAGAGAGGAATTGACAGGCTGACAGGACGTGGGGGCCTACTTGCAGCAGCATAGAGAGGTGTTGCTTTTATTGGACCTTGCCCTCTCGCTGCTCCTCCTCCTCTCCTGGATCTCCTCCTCGCTGCAAGCTCCCCTGCTCCTCCTCGTCTTCTCCAACCCCTGGAGGAGGCACAGGGTGCAAAAGGAGGGAACGAAGTCTTGGGGCGGAAGCTTCTTGCCCGCCGTCCACAGCGGAGCCATGTGGTGCAGCAAGAGGATCATGTTCGCTTGTGTGCTTCTGCACGCGGAGGCCTCCTCCTTCTCCTCCTCCTCCTCCTCCTCCTCCTCCTACCTCAATTTCTCTCTCCTCTTCCAGCAGGTGGCGCTGACGAGGATCCTTCGCAAGCTCTGGCAGGCTCCCTCAAGCTCCCTGCTTGAGCTCGTCGTTGCCGTGTGGTACATCCGAGCACGAGGATGCGGGGGGAGCACAGACACTTGGTGCTCCCTCCCCGTCATCTCGCTGTGTGCTGGTTGGATCCTCAGCCGCTGCTCCGACTGTCTCTCCAAGTCCTCCTTTGCCCTGGTCCTCGCCGTCACCTCTTGGACAGACGTCAAGCAAAGGTCCGCACAAGCTCGTCGCATCCTCCAGCTCCTTGTCCTCGGGCTTCCCTTCGCCGCCGCCATCCTGCTAGTTTCCTCCTTCTTGTCTGCCCCTCTCCTCCCTGTGCTCGGAGTGCCTCTCTTCCTCATCGGCTTTCCCCGCCCTCGCAGGCACTGGCCGCAGACAGCCTCCTTCTCCTCTTCCTCCTTCGATGCCGCCTACTACCAGCAGCTCGTCCCTTCCCTCTCATCCTCCCTGCTCCGAGCACTGCGCCAGGGCTCGCTGGGCTTCGGGTGGGCGGGAGACGAAATGCTGCTGGTGAGGAGGGAGGGGATGCTTCTGTTCGTGCAACTGCTGGAGCAGGGGAGCGACTACGTTCACTTCCTCTTCAAGGGGCTCGAGTTTCAAGAGACAAGCTGCCATCACGTGGAGGCAGGCGCAGTGGAGGAGGCGATGAACGAGGCTTTGCAGGACTCCTCCTCCTCCTCCTCCTCCTCCTCCTCTCTTCGACAACTCATCGGCAAACGGCTCATGACGGCCATAGTCCCCGTCTGCATCCTGCCGGTCGAGCTCTACTCCATAGGCGACATCCAGCTGACTGGTGTCATCGACCGACCTGAGAACTCCTCAGCTCTGGCCCAGCTATTCTCCTCTGCCCTCACTTGGCTCCTTCACCTCCGCCTCTCGCATGGCCTTCCATCCTCATGGTTTGACTTCCACCAGCTGGAGGATCTGCTGGGTATGCCTCTTGACCAGTGCGAGTTTGATAGTTTCGACGACGAGTGGGCGAAGTATGTTGGGATGGGAGGAGGAGGAGGAGGGGGAGGAGGAGGAGGCGAGCGGGGTGTGGGGAGAAAGGAGGAGCCGGCGAAGAGATCTACATTACAAGAGCAGCAGACAGACGGGGGCAACGCGCAGCCGTTCAACGAATTCGAAGTTTCGCATCCAACGACACTCATAGCGGATTCAGGTCCCCTCTTCTCCTCTCCTCCTCTCCTCCCTTCCCCTCTTCGCCTGTCCCTCCAGCTGACTGGTACCAGGGAGCATCAAAACCAAGGCTTCGCTTCCGGTACTGGAGCTGGAGGAGGAGGAGGACCTCGAGGACTTCATTGACAAGCTCACGGTACGTTCCCCTCCTTTCGTCTACCTCCTCAACCCTTCTCCTCCTCAGGTGTCTGCAAAGGATTTCGGGCAGGGAGAGCAGCACGTGAAGGATCGCGAGGAGCTGGTGGTGGAGACAAGCACAAGTTGCTCGGGCGTCAAATTCGGCAGCGCAGAGCAGGAGAAGGAACAGGGGAGGTCGACCTCTCTTGTCAAGTACACCAACACAGAGAACAGCAAGCTCTTGCTCTCCCTGCGCAGACTGCACGCTGCCTGCTGGGGTGTTGTGGAGGAGTGGGGGCACACGACATCTTCGAGCGGGCCGGACCACGTAGTCAGCCTCTTCCAGGAGCAGTTACCGTCCTCCCTGCACGCGAGGTGGCTCGAGGAGCGGCATGACCTCAAGAAGCTCGTCCTCCAGGCTTACAAGTACGCGTTCAAGTTCGTATACGACATGAGGTTGCTACCCTCGCCCTGCCCTTCCTCTCCTCTCCTCCCCTACCTGCCCTCTCCTCTCCTCCCCTACCTGCCCTCTCCTCTCCTCCCCTATCCTCTCCTCCCCTACCTGCCCTCTCCTCTCCTCCCCTACCTGCCCTCTCCTCTCCTCCCCTACCTGCCCCCTCCTCTCCCCAACGCGTCCAGCTGAATGGTCTTCAGCGTCTACGGCCTTGAGAGGAGCCACGAGGAGCTGCGAGACGCGTTCAACTCCTACGACAACGAGTGGCAGCTGGGCTCTGAGTCCAGCGCAGACTGGGCAGAGGCCGTGGAGAAGGTGATGAAGAAGCCTCCAGTCCTCTTCCTCCTCACGTGCTCGCAGAGGACCCCGAACCTCATGGCTGTCTTCAAGGACCAGGGGACCTACCGAGCTCGCGTTGCCACCCTGATGAAGTCGGAGATGCAGGTGACTAGCCCGCGTGCTCCCCAGCTCCAGCCCAGCATGACGGGCCGGCAGGTGGCCAGGCTCAACGGGGAGAGCGTCCGCGGCTTGTGGTCGGCTCTCAACATGGAGCTGCTCTACTTTGCCAACGACGACGATGAGAGATACTCGATCCAGGCACCGGGAGCGATGTAGCGTCAAGCTGCCGGCTGACGCTCTTACAGGCCAATACAAGGTTACTGCGGAACATGGTGATCCAGGCTGCTCCTCCTCCTCTCGGTTCGTGTGACCTGCCAGGCTCCGTCCTGACCACTGAGATGCCTGCAGGCTATCCTCTCTACATGACCTGCCGTGCAGAGTATGCACAAGGGATGTGAACACACGTCAAGGGATGCGTAACAAGTGGAGAGTCGAAGGCAGAAATCTGTCAAGACATCTGTAAATTATACACGTAAAACATCTACATCGGTTGCCCTGGAAGCGTCAGAAATTTCAGCTCGAACCATTCCCTTTGGCTTGTCCCCTGGGTACTCGAAGCACGAACTGCCCCAAGATGCATCACTACCTCCTGCCCATGGACCAAGCTGGAACGAGGAGAGAGGAGAGTCTGCTCTGACTCCATGGGCAGTGAGTTCACTCCCTCCTGCTTCTTTTCATCCCCCACTCCCTGCTTCTTTGCATCTTCCGCTCTCTCCTCCTTCTTGCCATCTCCCACTCTCTGTCTTTGACCTTCCTCTCCCCTCTTGCAGCAGAAACCGTCAGACGAAGGACTCTGCCTCCCGTGGGCGAAACAGTATATCTTCCTTGTCTTCATGTCATGCGCATCTCGAGCGCTCACGCTCCCGGTGTCACCCTTTTTACATCCTTGAGACTTGCAGAAGCTGCATGCCTGAGACTCGTATGCCTCCCATCCCCGCCTCCGCGCTTCGTTGCAGCATCGGTTCCAGAACGGATCGAAGATGAACAGACCTTTCAGCCCCAGGTCAACATGAGCCGTGGACACGAAAGCGCTCCTCGCGCAGCAGAAGGGCGACTCATCGCCGGGTTGTCTACGAGCATGGCAGCATGGGCACTTGTCCTTCGCCTCGCTCCCTGGCGTCAACTTCCCGATCGCATGCAAGACCTCTTCCGGCACCCTGCTTGTGTTGTAGCCAATGCAGAAGTGTGGGAGGCATCCATGGCTCTCCGCAGACGATCTAAGTTCACGCTGCATTTGAGCTTGTTCCGCCTTTGCTGGACCTCACTGCACCTAAAGGTGAGCGTTAAGGCTATCCAGACTGGATTTTTTTCCTTCAACTCGAGCACATCCAAGGGACCGTGGAAAGAAGAGGAAACAAGAGAGGCATGGAGTACCAGTGAAACAGCGAGGAAAGGAAGGATTTCGAGGTTGTCAAGATGCGGGAAGGAGAGGAGAAAGCGAGGGGAAGGAGGAGGAGGAGGAAGAGACGGCAAGATAATTTAGGAGGAGCGACAGAATTTAGGAGGGAGCAGATCAACTGGTTTGCGTTCATTGAAAGTCTGAAATTTTTGTGAAAGATTCTTTACTATTTTGAAATTGTCCTTATTATGTTGGAGGTTACGATCAGATTTGGAAGCATCATCGATTGGACCCGGGGTCCAACAAGTTTGTCCTTCCCCCTATCTGTTCTCTCGACCACCCCCTCAATTCCCCTCATATCACCCCTACCCCTACCTACCTTTACAATCACACCCCAACTTCAAACCAAGGTAAAATTACCACCCCTACCCTTGTTTTTCGAGTAAAAATCACCCCCCTCCGGTCTCCCTCCACCCCACTTTTTAAAACATCTACACTTGTCTCCATTCCCGGGACGTACCTATAAAAGTAGTAGTAGGTAACATTGGAGGATGTAGGGGTGGGTGGGTTGAGAAAGGTGGGTACTTCATGGACATATATGGGGTTGCTTTTCACAAATGGTTAAAACAGGGGGTGGGGGTTATCTGGTGTTCCATCATCGGAGGGTCCCCGGTGTTTCAACAATATCAGAAGGGTGGGGGTTATCGAGTAAAGTACCCACCCCTCGAACTGTTCACCACCCCTTCAAATTCCTTTGTCTACCGGGTTCCTTGTTGCCAGCAACGGGCAGACAAGTCAACACCCAAGGGGTACTCCCAACCTTTTGGTTTCTGGGGTACCCCCTTGTTTCCCTCTGATCATATAGAAATGACCCGGTGGTTTTCTACTTAGCCCCCACCCCCTGAAATCACTGCCAAGGCCACCCTTACCCCCTTCTTTACAACCTTTTTGAGTATATCACCGGTGCCACGAATAATTTGACGATGGCAACCCTTCAATTGATGGGTCTTTTACAGGGTGAGATGGGGGTATTTCACTACCCCTACCCCGGAGGATTACTACCTACCCTTGTTGCTCAACCCCGAACTTCTCTCACCCTCTCGGCCATGGCTGGATGCGATTGTAGGGAGGGAATGTCGAGGAGACTGAGAGATAGAGGGCGGGAGAGGAGATGGATGCGACGAGGAGAAGAATGAAGAGACAGAGTGACGGCAGGAGGAAGGGATGTTTCTTGCAAGGGATGAGGAGCCCATGAATGTAGGGAAACAGAGTTCAAAGGGAGAAGACCGAAACACGGAGTGTTTGTGAGGGCCAGGATGGTGAAACATCGAGGCAGGGACGAGCAGTCGTGGAGTCGAGATCTTGTTCTAGAGGAGAGTTTTGGTCTTCGGCATGTCTTCGAACCCACATGTTTGGAGGAGCATCTTCAAACCAAGTCGATTTGAGCAGCATAAAACGGAACAGCCCTGATCGCTAGCATGAGAGCTCAAGACGTTTTGGCATAGGGCTCTGTGCAGTGAAGGAGAGGATAGAGCTCTGTTGTGAACGTAGTGAAATCGCCCGAATACCCAGAATGTCCGCTATGTTCCTCTAGAAAACTTCGAGATCTGTTGGCGACTTAACAGTAATGCGTTTCCCTTCAGGCATGAACATACAAGACGACGACAGCATCAGTCCTGATGGAGGAACGGGCGACGATGCATTCTCAGCAGAGACTGAAGAGGACAAGAAAAAACGACGACAGGATCGGCATAGAACGTTGGAGAGGCGCCGGCGCGAGCGAACGCAAGAATTGCTGAACCAGATCCAGGTACATGCATTTTCAAGAGCTGTGTCAGGTGCAGCTGAGAATTTGTCGGTAGGCTGAAATCGAAAGACAAACGGGTAGAAGGCAGCCAGGAGCCTCCAGCTTCACTCTCAACAAGGCGCTCGCTCATGTCGTAACCCATGTTCGTAGAGTCCGTGACCAGTCGGACAAGAAAGATAGCTCGCAGGACCCGGAGGCAGCTCTCGACCTGTCTGCCTTAGGTCTGGGGGAATCAAAGCCGGTGGAGGATCCGGCGGCTACCGAGGACATGGAACTACTCAAGGCAGCTGTGATGGCTTGCGAGTCTCCGATCGCATTTGTTTGCATGGACGGGGGAATCATCGAGACGAATTTCGCCTTCGGGGACATGCTGGGGTACTCAACTGAAGAGCTGTGTGGAAACACTTTGTACATGCACTCGGTGCCAGAAGACATGGCGCACTTGATGTCAGCTGTTTGCGATCTCATCACGCACAAGAGCACGCAGGTTGAGCGACAGATTCGCCTACTTCACAGGCAAGGCCATCATGTCGAATGCAAACTGGACATGTTCGGGAACAAGGCAAAGGTGAAACAACGTCTGTCATTGATTGCTCGTAACTCGTTGATTGCAGGATAAAGTGTATATACTGGTGTACGCCACAGAAGTAAATCCGAGCCCCCAGCGTCAACAAATCCTTCATGTCAGTCTTGAGAATGGAAAAGTCAACAACAAATCTTCTGGTAGGCAAGCGATCACGAACGCTCAGATACAGTCAGATTTGTATCAGCATGGTCACTTCTTCCCGTCAGGCAACGCTCATCAGCAGCAGATCGCCGCACACCCTGTTCCCCCTGCCCAAGAGGCGAAGCCGCACGTTGACACAGCCAACCCCATCCCCAACGTGTTTCACCATGGGCCTGCCGTTGGGTCCGAAGGGTGGCGATCAGATCGGCCTCAGGGGCTCGGCGGGTTGAACAATCACTTCCCGTCACCTATGCTGAATCATCAGACCCCGATGACGGTACGCGGGTGGCTGAGATTTGACCTTGATGCTCACACGCTTTGCAGCAGAACTACGGCCAAGCAAACCTTGCGATCCCAGGATGGAACCAGCAAATGCAAGTGCACCAACAATTTGGAGTGGCGCGAACAAGCGAGCAGCTCCCATCCAACGTTGCAAAACCACCAACAAGCTCCCCTGTCGTCGATGCGTCCAGGAAGAAACCGTTGGACATTCAGGTCCCCTGATAAGCCAAGAGTCTGACAATGATCCTGACTACCGTAAACTGCAGACGACCAACATGTTGTCGTCAGACCCGGTGGGCTTGAGGCCGAATGGTAAGGAGTGATGTGTCCTTGTGTCCTGTGATCAGATGCAGGCGGGATAGCGCAAGTAGGAGGCAACCACGTCAATGGTGCGGCATGGTTTGGTCTTGCTCATACTCCACACGCGCCCCTCACTCCACATGGGCTGTTGAACCATCAGGTTGATACCTCACGCTCTCCTGACTCCCTTCTGACGAGCAAACAGCCACACACACCAGGCAGCAATTCTTTGCATGACGACCTGCTGTGGCTGGAGGTGAGCTCGAGTGAAGTCTACCTGATGTCGTGATGGTCGCGCTTGCAGGGCAACGACCTCGACAGCAATCCTCTCCTGGAGGGAGGAGCCTCGGTGGCAGCAAGTGAGATAAAAGGGCTGCGATGACGCTGCATGTGACACCCCCCCGCAGGTCACTCTGTCGACTCGTTTCCCACAGGCCTGATATCTGCTCATCGCTTTCTGAGTTCTATATGAGCATGTTGTAATGGATCCTTGCATGTGTATACCGGCAACGATAACTTTGTCTCTGTTAATAACGTAAATTACAACCTTGAACCTGACTCTCGTGTTGAAACGTTCCCATGTGCGTGAGGGGCATGAGCGGGGTCTCTTCACGAGCAGCATGCTCGTTGGAGCGTCTTGCTCGCGTCCTGCATGTGCGTCAGGAAGAACAGGGAGACGAGAGGGAGCGATGCCTTGTTGAGCTTGAAGTGATGGCCGAAGAGAACGTGCCCAAACCCAATCCCGAGGCAGACGGAGGTGAAGAGCCCGACGTTGAACGTCATCGCAATGAACATCAGCGAGTAATCGAGGGCAAGCGTCATCCCTGCCAGCGCCCCCCGGCACATGTTCTGCCTCAGCTGCAGTCCACCGTGTCAGCTCCTCTGAAGCCTGTGGTAGGGCCAGCCCGAACCTCACGGTACGACTGCGGCAGCAGGTGCACGTCCTCCATCTCGCGGACGTTTCGCCTGCAGGAGGAGGATGAGCAGGAATAAGAGCGAGGGGAGGTGAACCTCAAGCTCGTCGTCATTTCAAGAAGCTCCGAGCTGGTCGATTCTTCTGCTTCACTGCTCTCCCTCCCCGCAGCCTCGGAGAGCGCAAACGAAATCTCGAGCCTCAGCTGAAACTTGTCACAGCGGGACGACGCAAACGTGCTGATCACCTTCGCCACCTTCAAGAGGATGTCCATGACGCCCATGAGAATGATCGCCAGGCAGCTCCACGTGTAGCGAGGAACGCTGCATGGCACCCATCGCTTGAACAAGATGTAGTCTGACGACGATCAAGGCTCACTCATCTCTTAGCAGACATGAACGGAATTTACCGTTGAAGCCAAAGTGAAAGTACATCTGCATCACTCCTGAACACTCGCCCTCGCTGTCTTCCCCACAGAACGCTGTCAAGCCTCCCTGGCTCTGCCAGCAAACCTTCACCCCAGCAGTCACCGCAGCACCACAGTTTCACTGACCTCCGCGCACATTTCAGACCATGGCTTGCAATCGGCCATCATCATCGATAAACAGAGTCTGCAGCAGCCATCAGAGCAGGCGCAGCAGCCGTCCTTTATCACCTGCTGAGGGTACCCAGTGGATCCGGGCAGGATGCGAACGTGGCGGCCGAGCACTGAGAGCATCCCTGCATGTCCGGCATCTCCTTGCAGAGGGCCGAGACACTCTCGAGAGACTGCTGAGACGAGATCAGGCCTGGTACGTGCTGCAGATTTGGGTCTTTGCACTGCCGCACAGCTGTATCGTTCCTCTGACAGAGTTTGGTGTAGTTTGAACATCCCGCAAGTCCCTGCCTCCATGTGTGAGAGTCGCTCCGTCGCCGCACCTCACCGTGACCTTCACGTCTTCCTTCACTTGAGCAGAGCACAAGTCAGACAAGAGGCTCCAGCGCAGGCAGAAGTTTCCATTCATCCTCCCATCCTCACAGCTACGTTTGATGCTGCACACCAGTCACCGGGAGGCTCGCGCAAGGCAACTCACCTGCAACCAGACAGCCATGGCGCATGCGTGCAGACCGAGTTGATATCATCCAGAACAGCTTCAGTGTCATCTGCCCTCAGGTCAACCCGATCGGATAAATTCAAGTGCAAGAGGAATACAAAACAAATCCGCATCAGAGCACCAAGGTTGTGACGGATCTTGGAAGCAGGTACTGGCGTTTCAATAATCAAACAACAGGTCGCAAAGGTAATTTGTTGTCTCTTACCTCTTCTCTTGCGTACTAACTGTCAGGAAGAGAAGAAACAAGACAAGTGCTCGCATTACTCTGAGCCACTTCCAATCTGTCTTCCTTCCACTATTCTCCTTCCTTCTTCTTCCCAACCCTTTCTCGTACTTGTTCTCCCACCGTCGCCGCCTCTCTCCTCTTCCTTCTCCTCCGTTAGTCCTTCTCTTACCTCTGTCTCCTTCTCCTTCACCTTCACCTCCTTCTGCTTCTGCTTCTGCTTCTCCTCCTCTTCCTCGTTTTCGTCCTCGTCCTCGTCCTCGTCCTCGTCCTTCTTCTTCTCCGTCTCCTTCTCCTTCTCCCTCCCTTCACATCATTTGCGCCTCCATCGTCAGCGTCACAACCCACCAACTTTTGCCTTCGCGTTCATCTTCTACACCACTATTTAGTGTGCCCGGCGGGCCTGGCCCGCCGCCCCCGGAGGCGCACACCCGGCGTTCACTGAGTCCGACGGACTCAGTCCGAGTCCGAGGTCGGAAGCCTGACTCAGGCTCGCCATCATCACAGTAGTCACTGAGCCACCTGCGGAATCACGCGCCGCCCGGGGCCCGCCGCCGCGCAACTGGAGTCAGAGCGGGCCTCACCTCAGGTCATCATGTCACGGGGCCTGGCTGTCGACTCTGATGCCAGTGGCTCTGTGCACAAGTTCACGGAAAGGACCGTTACCGTGACAGCAATAGCTACCGTTGAATAGGGGCGACGTATGGTAGGTGGATCACGAGTACAGGAGGTCCTACGATGAAGGCACGAGACCACCTCTCAACAGGAGTCACGGTTGCAGAGACACACACGTGACAGGTTCTAGGCTGTCAAGCCTGAGGCCAAGGGAGCAACTGAGACCTCGTCATGTCAAGCCTATGACTCTCTCTGAGTCAGGGAGCCTCCAGGCTATGGGGCTAGGACTCGGACCGGTCGAAGGACCATACCGCGGATACGAAGCGTAGAGTACCGGTAGTAAGGGCCGCTCGCATTTGCAGGAAAGGGAAAGGAGAATGAGGTGAAGGGTCTCCGAGTGTGAGCTCACACTGAAGTAACAAGCTTGTTTACTTTACTTGAAGTAAACAAGCTTGTACATCTGTACTGGGCCAATCTCTTATCACCTCTGTTACTTCTCTGAATCCTGATATTATTCCTGCGCGGCCATCGGTGATCGCAAGTATCATCACTATAGATACTTCATCACTGTCTACTTCGTGTGAGGAGAGAGTTCCACTGGAAATCTCGACATATTCTAAAATTCGAGGAGACTTTAAGTTCAACCGTCTAATCATCTCATATCCATATCACCCTCCTCATATTCATTCATCTTCTACACCACTATTTAGTGTGCCCGGCGGGCCTGGCCCGCCGCCCCCGGAGGCGCACACCCCGGGCCCGCCGTTCAGTCCGACGGACTCCGAGCCGGGTACCCGGCACCCCCCGGGTACCCTAGTACGACCGTACCGGGGCCGTCGGTTCCGAGCCCTGGCAGCGCCGGGCCCTACATCCAAAAACCGGCCCACGGTCTGCGTATTGAAGCTGTCTATGTTCGGATTTTTTTGAAATGAAGGAGACACCTTGTCCTGTCATGCTCGATCCTGACCCCGGCAGCTGCAACATCAGTTGCAGTAAAGAGTTTATTCTAGAGACTGTAAAGTAGTTGAACAAGTGATGTTGAAATGATAAGAGCAGATCAGAGGTAAGATGAGATAAATCCACATGGAGCGACTCAGAGCATTAAGCCTTCTTGTTTCTCGCTAGTTTCCTTATCTTCTTGGCCTTCCGCTCCCTCTTTTCCTGTACATAAGAGCGAAAATCAACTACTTGCTAAATCCTTACAGAAACAAACAAGAATTGGTCAAATGAGTATACAAGTCTGATTACAATGCCTCTTCACACACACAACCCATCTAAACTCAAAGTTTTGAGTCTTCAAACACAGAAATACACAGACACACCGCATCTCAATTCAACTCTATCAAAACAAACTTCCCAAAATCATCACCTTCTTGTTGATTGCCTTGAGCTTCTTTCTTATCAGATGTTGTCTTTTACTCAGTTCTGTCCCTGCCTTCTTCCGTCTCTCTAACTCTTTTTTCTTCGCATCTTCTCGAGTGAGATCTTCTTCCATCATATCAATATCCTCGTCGTCGTCGTCATCATCATTGTTCTTTCCCACTGCAAAGTTCACGCCAAAACTCCCCTTGAACTTGACGGAATCTAGAGCTCTTACCTCACCATTCTCCCCAGCAGTTTCACCCGCCAACATCTCTCGCTTCTCTCGAAGCCTCTCGCGCTTCTTCTCTTGTTTCTCGAGAAGCTCTTTTTCGCGATCCAGCAAGAATTGATGATGTGCATCTCGTTTTTTCCTGTTCTTGTGCTTCACCATGTCTCTTTTCGCTTCACCTGACGCAAAGTTAATTCTTCGTCATAAGTCTCCTTCGGATTCCATTTCATAGTTTGCTATATCCATTGTTCCTCGTGGGTGATTTCTACTCTTTCCCGTTCGCTCCTCTACACCCCTTCTTTTCTCATCACTCCGCTGCTTGTTTTCACCCTCTTCTTCCCTCCATTTCCTCGCTGTTCCTTTCCCACCTCTTATTTTTTCCTTTCCTTTCCTTGCCTTGCCTTGCCTGGCCTGGCCTGGCCTGGCCTTGCCTTGCCTTGCCTGGCCTGGCCTTGCCTGGCCTTCCTCCCTCCTCCTCCCTCGCCTTCATCGCCTTCTTCTTCCTTCTCCCATCCTTTTACATGGCTTCTGTTCTCCTATTCCCTCCCCTCCCCTCCCCCTTGTTCGGTCTCAGTGCATTCCAACTGCACGTGCGGTCGGAAGGTTTATAGTCAATAGATTCCGGCGCCGGGTCAAACTGAGTACGGCGGCGAGGAGCCGCGCCGGGCAGCGGCTGGTGGCACTGAGCAGTGGCGGACCGGGCCTTGGACACAGTGGACTGAGCTTGGTGTGGTGCGGGGCCGCAGGGGCCCTGCGTCACTGCGGTCAGCCTGCACCGCCGCACCGGGTGGCAGCCTCACGTGCGGCGATCGGACGCCTCACAGCGCCGGAACTCCGGGCGCGGATCAGCGGACCGGGCGCGGCATCCGGGACCCGGGTCCGGCGGCTGAACCTTCGACTCTCCACTCAGGCGCGCGGCCGTGAACCCGGCACGATCCGACGGGGGCGTGCCCGTGAACTTCGGAAGTTCCGCCGGTCGGCAGCCGAGACAGTCACCCGGCCTTGCATATCATCGAGACTTGCCACGTCCTGCTACTCTCTGAACAATCGCAGGATTGCAACGAACTAAACTCGCGGCAAGGCTTTCAAACTGGACCCGCGTTGTTAATATTTCTGATTGTATATTAAAAAGCTAGACATTTCGTTTTACAACCGGTATTTACAAAAGATCGATCAGTCGATCCGAGCTTCCCTCTTTCTCTTTCACCGGATCGAAAGACGGAGAATCCATGCTAGGCGGGGTAGCACCACTGCCGGAAGCCGCAGACAGCCGTGCAGGATCTTGGCTCTTGCTGAAAACATTGACCACGCTCCCATCCCGTGCACCCACCGAGTGCGTGCCGTTCATGGAGGCCTCGCATCGCCACAAAGAGACGGAAGATCCCGCATGCCACACGCACACTCCCATGTGATGATTGCGCTGCATTTCACATTCAACTGCCTCAACACATCCCCCTTCACGCACTGACAGTCCATATCGTCCATTCTCGCTCAAGTCGCACTTCATCAAAGTAATCTTTGAGCCCCTGTCCTTGGCTGCTACACCCGATTGGTTGTTGAGTACCATGGAACATTCAAGAGCTTCAACGACACCTTGCCCGCGCGCCCCCACACCTATCCTTCCGTTGTCCCGTGAAGTACACTGTTTCAGATAAACCATCGAGCCCACATCCTTGGCAACTACTCCAACGTTCACATTCCCTTTGACGAGAGATTCGATTGCCGTGACCTTGCCACCCTCGATAGCAGTCAAGCCCGTAGCACCGTTGTTACTTGCTTCACAATGCATAAGTTTAACCTTGGAGCCTGAGTGCCACGCTCCCATTCCCACTCTCTGATTACCCTTCATGATGCACATTCTAGCATCCACGTTGCCTCCAACAATTGCTGCAACGCCAATTCTTCCATTCTCTGATGCTTCGCATTGCAGCAAGTTGACAGACGAACCATTGTCTTTGGCCACAACACCAGCCTGCAGATTCCTTTTCATACAGCTGTGACTCACCTCTGCAGTGCCGCCTTCACTCGCACCAACACCGTATAACCCATTATCACTCGATGAACAATGCATCAATTGTACAGATGATCCCTCACCACAGACATAAACCCCAAATTGGTGATTTTTCTTCAGAGTACAATAACGAGCTTCAATTCTGCTTCCGACGCGAGCAGCGATCCCAGTCCTGCCGTTGCTTATGGCGGTACATCTTAGCAAACTGACTGTTGAGGTGCTGTGCCACGCACCGATTCCAAGTTGCTGATTATTGTTTAATTTGCAGTCTATCGCTTCAACAGCACCGCCATCACTTGAAGACACTCCATATCGCTCATTGTTACTAGCATCGCAAAAATTTAGCGTGACTTTCGCTCCAGTGTTCAACGAGCAAACACCGTACTGGTTGCGTTTCATTTCACAGCCCGTACAAATCGCAACTCCACCTTCTCTGATACCAAGACCAATTCTTCCATTGTCGTTTGCCTTACAGTACTTCAAAGTCACCCGAGAAGTTTCGCCTTTTGAAACAACACCTACTTGATTACCCCTCATTTCACAGCGAAATGCAATTAGCTCACCCCCTTCACTAGCACCAATGCCATGAGTCGTATTCTCGCTCATGTTGCACTGATCTAGTACAACTCTCGAGCCAGCATTTGAGACACACATTCCATACTGGTTCCGTGTCATCGTGCAACTCTTGGCCTCAGCCGTCGCACCTTCCCGTGCCCCAAGACCAATGCGCGCATTTTGACTGATGTCACAACCATGAAGTTGCACATGGGAGGCTGTCCCTTTTGACACAATGCCAACTTGATTTCGGAGCACACTGCAATTGAATGCTTTCACAACCGCTCCAGCACCTACACCCGCTCCGTATGTCCCATTGTCGCTAAGTTCACTGTCACAGATGACGACAGAAGATCTTGCATCTGTGGCAAGAACTCCGAAATGCCTATTTCGCATTACTCTGCATCCCTTCAAGACTTCTGCTCTACCTCCTTGTGCTGCTGCAACACCAACGAATCCGCAGTCAGTCATTTCACAACCTTCGCATCGAACAATCCCGGTTCGGAGGACACAAATACCAATTCCTGCATCCGACGATATACGACATTGCTGAAGAAGAAGCTTGCCCTCCGTGACCCAAATACATCTCTGCTTGAGGTTAGTAGGAGTGACAGGAGAATTTTTGAATTCAAAGGTAACACCGCTTACGCACACGTAAGCATCCTTGCTAGCAACCCGGATGAGAGGCCGACCAGTCCGACTTGAAAGCACCACCGAGCCATCCCTGGAACCTGGTGTTGCTCGAATCACAATTCTATTGTTCTGTACAACTTCAGCTTCTGTATCCATCTCATGAACACCAGGCATCAAGTTCACGCGGACCATTGTTGCACACCCAGCTTGACCACTAGAAAGAGCCTCAGTCAGGTTTGTGAAGTGCATAGTTGGCCCAACAGTCAATTCACAAAGTAGAATAGATTGAACGATATTATTGTTCAGGATTTTGACCATAGAATCAGAGCCAAGCCGTGAATGAGAACCCATTGCAAAGGCAATCATTCTCTCACAGTCGTCAATGTCTAAAATGCTTGACCGTATGTCCGCCATATCCCTTTCGATGTTCACATGATTTTCACCATCATCCAAATGCTTGATGACATCCAAATCCAGGGCAGGGCCATAATCTGGTTCCGTTCGCCTCAAATGAATAAAATCTTGGATTGTTGTTCCAAAATTTCGATCCCGTCCTGTATGACCCTCAGTTCCTACTTTGTATGGAGCACTCAAATCGCCTACTGAGCTTGAGCTATCATGTACAATCATATCCTTCTCACTTTCGGGTTCACCATCCCATCCTGGTGAGTCTCCACTTGACACATTGAAACCAGTCAAGTCATTTCCTGCATCTGACAAAGCTCGATTCAATGGAACTGATAAAGCATCTACCTCCGCTGCCATAGGGTGATTGATGGAATTTACTTGATAGGCTGCAGTAGGGTCGGATATGTTGTCTTCTTCCGAACCCACAGGTTGTTCTTCTTGTGTAGATGTATTTGAAAGTGGGATGGATGCAGCAGCTGCAAAACTGACCAGTGCAGGCTCCTCTGTCCTTCTACGCTTATTTCTGGAATTTCCATTCGAAGAGCTGGACCCCGCTTCTTGCATTTCACTATCATCAGGTGACCTTCCTGACGATGAATCAAAATCGCGATTCATCTTCTAGCCGCCACCCTTGACGACGATACAAACTTATCTAAATGAGACGACAAAAAAGCCAGAACAAAAAAAGAATTGCAAAAACCAGAGATAAACTGAAAATCCACAACTACGAGCAACACAATGAAAATATGCCTTAAAGTTGCCTACAGAAACCCTAATTCGCTCTGTTGGAGTCTCATTTTGCTGAGTGTTCCTCAAAGCTTCACCCCGATAAACAGATGGTAATCCTTCAACGCTAGGAAGGGTTTTGAGCTACAGGATAGGCAGTAAGAACAGGAGCAGCTGAGTTTTGCGGAATGTCTCAGTGTACAGACAATTCAAGGCAGGAGCTGCAGCCAACTTTCCAGCTAGAAACTGCACGATCGCCACAGAACTGCTTTCACAAAACACTCCAAAATAGCGACTTGAGGATCTTCTCCTGCAACCAGAAACGAACGAAAACAGCACAGCAATCGATTTCTGTTCGATTGTGCAGGTGTAGAAGATCAGGAGGAAATGAAAGCGGAGGGAAAGAGGAGGGTAACGGATAGGAACGAAGGGATGGGCTGCTGTTGCGCAAGGAGGCTAATGCAGGGGCCTGTCTACGTCGGGAGCACCCTTTCCCGTTAGTGGGAAGGAAATCTTTGCCTCCTACAAGACTTTACAAACAAAGGACAGAAAATTCAAAAGTAAATTTCAAATATTACTATAATTAAATATCAGGCAATCAAAACTAACTTGTATATGGGACCAAGTTGCGGAAATTAGCAAATTCGCCCCTGCACCACCCGTCGTACTATTTCCCACTATGAATATGCATGTTTTGACGGTACAAAATTTTGTACTGGGATGAATGTGCACCTCTCAGAGATCTAAATATTTTGTACCATGAATCTCAGCTATTTAAACAACAGTAACTGAATCGCATACAAATAAAATTGTAACTTTGATTGCGTACCTCTTCGTTAATTACAATTGATTAATATATTTAAGAAGATTTAGTACCACAAAATCTCAATGGGATCGTAAGAGCAAGTTTAAAAATAATTAAAGGGGCTGCGGGTCTTAATTTATGTACTGGAAGGTATACTCATGTACAAAAAAATTGTACGATTTGACATACATTACCGCACTTGTAGTAGCCCTTTTATTGAAATGGGGCTAGAAAATTTGAATGATAAATTTGGATGCAATCTGTGCCATAACTAACAGATATTCTAGAACATTGGTACACACGCTTGTACCATGTGAAATGACTTTAATCGACATTTTAAATACACAACTTATATGGCTAGCTTTGTGGTGCGGTCCTGCCTTTGACCTTTTCATTTCTTCGAAAGTGGAAGTTCGCCGGGTGGTTGTCCCCGAGGCTTTGAGTACTGCCGGGGAATGGGACGGGCCTGTCCTGTCTTCACGTGCGAACATGGCGGAGATTGAAGGGACGGGGAGGGGAGGGGGAGGGGAGGGGGAGGACAAAAAGTTCTTTGCTCAGTTCGTGACTGAGGCGGGAGAGGTCACGGGGCCTCAGATCGAGATCCCCTACGATCTTACGGGCAGGCAGCTGAATGGGGTCATCAACGAGCTCCTCAGCAAGGACAAGTTCGAGCCTTACAGCTTCTACATCAACGATCAGGTGACCTCATCTTGACCGCCATGATGCTACAAATCACTCTCCATGAGAATCTTGTAGTATCTTGTCCCGACGCTCGCTTTGCCATGTCTTGCCTTGCATTGCATTGCCGAGAGTGAAAGATGTTAACCTGAAACGGGTGGTTCAGGAAATCGTTGGGACATTGGGAGAGTCCATCAAAGAACACAACATCTCAGCAGAGACCGTTGTTAAGATCGTATACCAACCTCAAGCCACATTTCGCGTCATTGCTGTCACCAGATGTACTGGCACATTAGCAGGGCACACCGAGGTTTGAGTTGAGTTCAAGACATATATCGTCCTTATAACCTTGGCAGGCCATTCTTTGTGTTGCATTTTCTCCCGATTGTAAACGCCTCATCACTGGTTCGGGGGATGCGACTTTGAGAGTGTGGGATATAAACACGGAGACGCCGATAACGACCATGAAAGGCCACACCAACTGGGTCTTGTAAGCCCCTATCGTTGGCTGCTTCTGTGCGAAGCCTCATTCATTCACTTAGATGCTGTGCATTTTCGCCGGATGGGAAGCTTGCAGCATCAGGAAGCATGGACAAGGAAGCGAGATTGTGGGACCCTGCTAAGGGACAACCAGCTGGCAAACCACTGAAGGTATAGAAGATCGAGAGTCCCATGAGGCACCGCGACTGAATTGCTGTAGGGACACACCAAGTGGATTACCAACTTGTCATGGGAACCGATCCATCTGTCGAAAGATGGCGTGAGTAGAAGGCTAGTCACAGCTTCGAAGGTACTGCCTCATGTTTGCTTGCACCTCCTCACATCTAATGCGACTGGAAATGAAAGGATGCGTCTCTGAGAATCTGGGACGCAGTAACAAGTGCAGTCACGCTGGTCTTGACGGGGCATACAAGCAGGTTTGAATCTTGATGATGCAACACATTGCATGAAACAGCGTGCAGTGTTACTTGCGTGCGTTGGGGGGGTTCTGGTCTGATATACAGTGGAAGTGAAGACCGGACTATCAAGGTGCCAATTTTACTTCCGAAGGATGAGGAGCCAGTTGACGTGTGCGGGCTGGCAGGTGTGGAACCCAGACAAGGGGATTCTCGTCCGTTCACTGGAGGGGCATGCACACTGGGTCAACCACATAGCATTGAATTCAGACCATGTCATGAGAAACGCTCCTGCGAACGCCAAGGAAGCGGCTCTGTCTCCTAAGCAGAGGTGGTTGCACTCAGCATTGCCATGCCTTGAATTTTCTTAACGAAATCACCAGGTATGAGAACGCAATTGGCCACGAGCTAGTGGAGCGATTAGTTTCAGCAAGTGACGATCACACGATGTACTTGTGGGAGCCAGCTGTGGGGAAGAAGCCAATATGCCGCATGACAGGACATGTTCAGGTGCCAGTCGTCGTGTTCTGATCACGGGGAACTGACCTGGCCATTTCCCCCACAGCCTATCAATCATGTTAGCTTCTCCCCGAACGGGCGTTTGATAGCCTCGGCTTCCTTTGACAAGGTGAGAACTGAGATAGAGATATGCCTTGACGAGCTGCAGGCTATTCGAATATGGAATGGAATCACCGGCAAGTACATCGCCACCCTTCGAGGGCATGTCGGGGCAGTGTACCAGGTGGCATGGTCCTCGGACAGCCGGTCAGCCCCTCCCTCCTCGTCTCCTCCTGATGTCGGTTGGCAGACTGCTGGTGAGCGCCTCCAAGGACTCCACCCTCAAGCTCTGGGATGTCGAGCAAGGCAGCAGCACATTCGGCAAGCTGCGCGTCGATCTCCCTGGGCATGCAGATGAAGTGCGACCGATGCTGAACCCTGTGGCTTCTCCTCTGATCTGATTTTTTTATGTTGCAGGTGTTCGCCGTGGACTGGAGTGCCGACGGAGCTCGTGTGGCAAGCGGGAGCAAAGATTGCTCGCTGAAACTGTGGAGATACTAGAAAAGCCATTATAAGGATTCCTTCGATCTAACCTGTATGTCTGTAACTATATCAGAGTGAGGAGTGAGCGATTTTAGTCATATCTGCATCTATTACTTTCAATCCTCGGGGTCATGAAGAAATATATCTTCACCTAGGATGGGATGGATTCTGTTTTCCTTCAAAATCGCTATTTTTTTCACGAAGTCCACTGTCCTTCATAGCGTCTTTGGTTTATTGTCTTTGTTCTCACTCTCGTCCTCCTCGTCGTCGTCTCAATCAGCATCATCATCGTCCCTTGCCCCTCAAATGTTGTTGCTCCTCCTCTGCGCAGCGGGCAGTTTGCACAGAGCTCAAGAGCAATCGGAGCGATCTCCGGGATAATGGGGGCCTAGGGTGGGGTGGGGTGAGGGATAGTGAGAATGGGGGTGAGGTACGCTTTTAGTACGGGTCTGTTCCTAGGGCAAAGAATGCGTGAATGGAGGTTGTGGGGTAGGGAAGTCTTACAAAGGGTGGGGTGGGTGGTTGGGAAAATTGAAACTGGAGTTCACATGCAAGGGAGAGGAGGGGAAGAGATGAGGAGGAGAAGATAAGGGGAGGAGAGGAGGGGAGGAGGAGAGGAGGAGAGGAGGAGGATAACAAAGGAGGGAAGAGAACGTTGAGAAGGGTTGACATTCCTGAACATGAGGACAACAGAGAAGAGAGGAGATGAAGGGGCTTTGCAGGATCGATATGGGCACTTCAGCGGGACAGAGTAGAAATCGACAGAAAGCACAGGATGAGTCAGTGACTGTCGATCTTCCTGATTGATAAAGTCAGAAGGGAAAACACAGGCATCTCGTCGACCATGCTGGCTCGTTGATCTCTTTGGGTCGCCGGGTTCAAAGGACGACAGTCATCACTGGCCCTACCTTCGGCCACATCGCTCACACGGACAACGGGACCGCGGACTCATCAGGTTGAAGAAGAAGCTGCCCTTGCTCTTGTGTCTGCTGCTAGTTTGCGCGAGGAAGACGACAAGTGTATCGAATCACGGACATTTCGGATCATCAACCAGCCCGACACTTCGCAACTGACATGAGCAGGAGTGGGAGCTTTGCGTAGCTGCATGTAAGGGTGGCGGCTTCTGAGGAGGAGTCAGCTTGCTGCTGGAGAGAACGCAATGTCTTGTTGCTTCCCCCTCAAGAAGAAACGGCAGAGAAATCCTGAGTCGTCGGCGGTCGCACCTAACAATGGGGAAGATCCAAATGCACGCTTCGTCATCCGCGGAGACGTAGGTGGGCTCGTTCTTTGACACAGCCCTCCGAATCCTCCTTCCTCTGAATCCTCTTTCCTCCGAATCCTCTTTCCTCCGATTCCTCTTTGGATCTGATTCCTCTTTCGATCTGATTGTTCTCTTAACCAATTCCTTGTTTTCTCTAGTTTTCTCTAGTTTTCTCTTGTTTTCTCTGATTCCTCGTTCTTGTTTGCTCTGATTGTCTTGTCGTCTGTTTGCTCTCGTTAATGGAATGTTTGGCAGTCTTGCCAACAACCGAACCGAGCACTCCGAAGTGCGTTAACGGCCTCCGGCCTGAAGATCACCCCGTCGGACGTGCGGGGTCCTTTAACCTTTTAGATTCAGAGCCTTCGAAGACTGAGGTGATGGTGGAGGAGGACTAAGTAAGAGGTTGACCTGGTGGTGGTGCAGGCTTCGATTGTCAGTGTTGTCGTCGAGAACGTCAGCGAACTGAGAGCTTCCAGTTCTCGGCAAGAATCTCTGTCAAGGTGAAGACAAGTGGGATGAATCTGGTATTGATTGTGCCTCTTTTCCATGTTCAGGATCAGGGCAAACATCTCGGAGCTGTTGGGAATACCAGTTCGGTGTGTTGATGTTCACCATGCAGACAAGTCCGAGGAGATGAGTGTCGTCTTTGTGCCGAGACCAGCTTCGCATTCATGGGACAGGAGTAAGGGGAAGCTGAATGAAGCAGAGGTGGTGCTGTTTCGAGTGTTGATCCCCCAGGGCTGATGCAGTCTTGTGCAGGGGTGGATTAACGCGAGTCAGACGGCCCAGAGACTGGTCACGATGATAAAAGAAGGATCGCAGGACCTCCATCCTGTCCTGAAATCCTCCAAGGATGCAAGTTGCATCCCTTGCAATGTCGGTCATGTCGCTTGGGGGGACGTGACGTCTGATTTTCTCTCAGGAAGACGCGTCTCTCAGCAATGAGATGAACGAGCTATTCCGTAGGATGAGGAGCTCCTGGCCCCAGCAGGTACCTGAGCTGGCGACCTCCTCTTCTCCTGACTTCCTTGCAGCATGAGAGCCGGACCACCACTGAGACAGGCTCCATCAACGGTATCCTCCACACCCCGAAGTCTCCGTCGGGATTCACATACAAGAGTCCAAGCCCCATGCTGCCACCCCGCTACCTGGGAATTGGACCTCTGGAGTACACGCACGAGCATTCTATCCCTGGCGCCTTAGGTACATCTGCCGCATGCGAGGACTCTTGAATGACTTATAAGGCCCTGTCCCTTCAGGCGATGCCAACGGGCACGCCAGTTCGATGCAGGCAAGGGAAGGCTTACATTTGCCTCCAAAGTTGCCTCTGAAGCTTATCAACGAGGTTCACCCAACATCTCCAGCCAACATCGCAAACATCGTTCGCGACTGACGTTGTTCCAGAAAACGCCGAGCACACCGGATGAGCGCAAGCGATCGCTGCTGCACTACAAGCCGATGACTCCCAGGACGGAGAGGAGAAAACACATGCAGGGATCAAGCGTGGCGCTGAGAGGACAGCAGGCGAGGAGCCAGATACGTCCAGATGCTCCTGCGGGGTGGACCAGCTCACCAGTGGTGGCTGTGACGACTGGCGAGCATGAGGGAGGAGAGAAAAGAGAGGACGAAAGCGAGTTGCGAAGAGCGAATGGTGGCAACTTTCGGAGGACGCGACGCGAGTGACTTGATGGCAGGAGAGGTTGCAGAGGACTACAACCAGTTCAGCCAATGGATGAGCCCTAAAGCAAAGGACTGGAATAGCATTCTGAGAACTCCTCCAAAGCCTCAGGCTAGAGAAGATGCTGGTCTTGCTTGCAACTGACGCTCGCACAAGCAGCGGGGCACGTGGGTCGCGTCATCTGCTGCTACGTCGCAGTCCGTATACGATGACTCGAAGCAGGCAAGGGCAACAAGCATCCTTCCTCTTTGCTCATGCGTTACAGGCTGCCTTCTCCAATGCCGAGTATGGGGTGACTGCCATGCGGGGGACTGCAGGTCGCTACAACAACTGGCTCGAGCCCTCCTCTCATGACGACCTGCGTAGGCTGGAGGAGGCAGCTAGAGCTCGCAGCAACCAGAGTACCCACGAGCAGGGACCCCTCGCCGATCCATGGGCGGGTGATGTTGAACCCGTGGGGATGGCTTAGCCATGACGATGAAGCAGTCGCCGTCTGGCAGGACGTCGCCATCGATGATGGCTTGGATGGATCCTACCATCGGGTTGAAGCAGAGGAAGCATCGCTCTCTCTCAAGTGATCTGATGGTGTAGGATGGAAACGTCGCTCTCTGCTTGGATGCAGCCGGGCCTGTTACAGACTTCGTTACAGGTGCACCTGCTGTCTTGCTCTTGCGCACTGATACAGCTGGCAGAGCGACGAAGTCGAGAGGGAGGCGACGATTGAACCTGAATCGGTGTTCCTCCTCCTCCTCTCCTTGATCCTGCTGACTACCTGGTCTTGCAGACGACTTGTGTGTATCCTGTTCCTCCCCTCCTCCCAGGGTGACTTTCCCTTGTGATGACTGACTCGACCTGACTCGCCGGCAGCTCTCAACCTGAGAGGGAGGCAACCGAAACCTCTCCAGGTACCCTCACTCATGGGGTATGTGGCGACTGACAGGAGTGCAGCCGTGAGGTCATTCCAGTGGTGAACAAGAGAAACTTCGACATGCTGTAATTTTCATGTAAATGGTGTAAAGACTAGCAGAATCGTCCGGACTGCAGAGCAAACTCAACCTCAACCTCGAACTCACTCGTAACACAAGCTCGCGAATGCTCAATGTCAGCACTTCAGCCTTCTGATCATCTGTCAAAAGCAGTGAGCAGCTTGGCGGCTGTGTCTCCCTCCCTCCTCTACCTTGGGAGGTACTTGGCAAGGTCCGGGTAGTCAGCCCAGTTGTACGGCCATTCCTCGAACCACTGGACTGAACGTCAGCAGCTGCCATCTCCTCACAAGAGAACCTCGAAGGGCCAGCCCTTGAGCCCCAAGTACGCAAGCAAGAAGGCCGAGCCCATGATCACCTGTAGTTGCGGTAAGAGCGACCATGGGGACGGGTGGAGCAAGTAGAGGGAAAGAGGAGAGCGGAACGGAGGAGGGATGAGATCGGATGGGATAGGAGGAGGCAAAGAGGATTGAGAAGGAGGAGGAGAACTCGCCGTTACTGCAGGATAGTGGAAATCGTTGTCGACGGCCTTCGCAGCTTCCAGTTTGTCGACACACTTCTGATACCTGGAGAGGGTCGTCAGCATCAGCAGCTCCTGTCATGATCGCCAAGGATACAACTGCACTCACGAAGTGTAGAAGCATCTCCCACAGTTGGCCGCGCGAGCGATGCGCAACGGAGTGCACTTGTAGATGAGAGGTTTGTTCACACTCCTGCAAGCGATGAACAGGATCATGTGTGCAGAGACTGAGCAGTCAAAGTATCACAGAAGTGGAATCTTGAATCCGAAGGCAGTGGGGAAGGGATTGATCCGTTGTAAACACTCCACATTGATGTCCGCGCCGTATTCTATGAGCTTGTCGATGATGGCAGCATTTCCTACGGCAACACGTCAGACGCACCCTGATGAGATCGGAGCGGCTCTCACCACAAGCTGCCGCAAGATGCAAGGCTGTGTAGTTGTTCAACTCCATCCAGTGCACATTCAAGCCTGTCTGCGACTCATCGAACCCCGCGATCTCGCCTGAAAGTTTAAGGATTAGGGAACAACACGATGAATATAGGGGAGAGAGGAGGAAGCACGTACCAACTGTGATATTCTTCCACTTATCCTTCAGTCTGCAGAAAGCATTCACGTTCGCCCCTGACTCCACAGCCTTGACAAACAAGGGCTCGTTCCCCTCTATAGCGGCTTCCCACATCTTGTAGTTCATCTGCTGAACAACTTCCGGTGGAATAACCTTTGGAGCCCTCGCCACTGTTTCGTTCCTCTCTGTCTCCTCTGTCTCCATGCTTTCCGTGGTTTCTGTTGTGTTTCCTGTGAAGAACTCTAAATGTCAATAGCGTGTGGAACATCATCAAATAAGAAAAGTTTTGGAGGGCAAGCAGATTCAGAGACAAAGAAAAAGATGTTGGCAGCGGAAGATGGTAGGTAAGTGAGACTATGAACCTGTTTTGCCAGTGTTTTCTTCGTTGTCTTCCCCTCCCTTGAGCCTCAACCTCGAAGCCGAAGCGACCTCCGCACTCAGTCTGCTCGAACAAGCTCGATGTGGCATCGCTTCTCTCAGATATCCACCATGGAGAAGACGCAGCTGCCCCCTACCTGCAGGCTCTGATAGCCGCCCAGCATGCAGCGCCCCACCCTCCCACACCAGCACCCCCATCAAGACAGCCAGCAGCACAGCCGCTCCCGGCATCCTTGCGGCCGCCATGACCGTTACCTCAATTCTATGACTGTAACGCCGGACGGACCGGACCGCCGGACTCTCTGACGGGCCCGGCGGGCCCCGGGCCCCCGGACTCAGTCGGGTGGCGGCGGCGTCCCATAGCTGCCATCATGATGCCATGATTGGCCAGTGGCCTGTGCGACAGTGTCAGGGTCAAGCCTCCTCGACTCTCCTGATTGTCCTCGTACTGATTTTTAACTTAACTTTGAGTAAAGGCCAGAATGAGGGCCGGCGTGACGCGGCCGGAACCGCCGGCTGTGCCTGGCAGTCTCTGGGCCACGACACAGTGTGCCGCCGGGGTCACATCCCGGCGATCGGACATGGCCGCCAGCGGCCGGGGCCCGGGGGGCGGGCCGCGCCCCATTATGATGGCATATCCGATGATCCAGATGTACTGTATATGTTGAACGATATGTCAAGCGCTTGCTAAAGCGTCCGCGAGGATGAATGCATATTGCATCCTTGAGGATATAGACGTGAATAGTCAACATTTGAAAGTTTGGAGACTACTTCACGAGCAACAGCGCGACAGCCCTTGGATGGTCTAAATAAGTATCGAAATCTTATCTTTCAACATCCTACGATATTGTGCGAATAAAGCACCTTCATGCTCAGTTTGTGTGATTTGACCCACTATCGCATCTCCAGAAACCTAGTCCTCAGCCACCTCGCTTGATGCTTCCCTCAGCCTACTTCTCGTTCACTCTACGACCACTCTATACGAGCTATTCAGATTTCCACATGTCATTCTCAGACGCGACAACCTCTGCTTGAAGAGTCTTTGTGACATCTGGCGATCCTCCTTTCCTCGCATCCGAAGCAGCTACCCAGTATTGATGAAACTACATCCGAAGGAGATTTGGAGATTTGAGTTGAACAGGTAAGGCATTGCTGGTCGTTGGATGACTTTGCGATGCGGTGAGATCAGTCGACATCTGTTCTGCTGACGTCATCTCCGAAAGAAGTAGTGTCCTTGGAGATAGTTCAACCCCACCCGAGGAGCAACTCAGTACAGCCGGGTCTGACGGACCTGGTTGGAAGTGAGTTTCGCGTTTCCTGCAGTTGTGCGAGCTACGGGCTCTTGTGGGTCTCAACTAGTGAGAGGGTAACAGTCTTAGTCTTGAGTCAGCAGCATGCAGTGTAAGTGGTCGATCTCTTATAAGTTGGGCAGCATCGAGCTAGCCTGCACGTCAGTCATGAGATTCAGGAGACCGTCATGGTAGCGAGTGATGAATGTAACAACCATCAAGTTCAAGGAAGACAGTGAAGCTGAACAACATTCAAAAAAGAACGTAAATAAGTTTGTTCCTCTTTCCATGTCTCATACTTGAGTATAAATGTTTCTTGGGCGGGCACGTAATTCGCTGTGTGCTGATGATTGGGGGACATTCCTGTACCTTGCTGCAATGATATTATACGCTGTCGAGACTGTCAAGATGCAGCTTCGGATTTGAATTAACTCATCGCTTTTGGAGATAAATCTGGTGATACAGCGCAGGTCAACTCTTGTTTCAATGACAATCAAGTTCATCCATAGCAGACAGCAGCTTGTGTCGACGGGGTCATCAAGACTTGACCAGTTGCTCTCGGCCATGAACCATCTTCGAGCTTGACTCGGATGCGGCAGACGGGGCGTAGCTGGCAAACGTCTGACAGCTGCATGAGTTCTCAGCTGTCATCGAGCTCAACATGGTTGCAGCTCACTAGGTGAGGGTGTGGAAGCGCTTCGACAACTTCAAGTTGGCCCACGCAGAGTCAGCATGCCGCAGCCATGAGCGTCGCATGGGGATAGACAAGCGTTGCTTGACCACCTTGCTGAGCCTCCTGGTCTTGCTCAACAGTCTCTCTGTCTCCTCCCTCCCTCCCTCCCTCCCTCCCTCCCTCCATCCCTCTCCCTCTCCCTCTCCCTCTCCCTCTCCCTCTCCCTCTCCCTCTCCCTCTCCCTCTCCCTCTCCCTCTCCCTCTCCCTCTCCCTCTCCACTGGTTTGAGAACAATCCCA